GCAGGACTTGAAATAAATTAAATGTCTATGTCTAATGAAATATATATAATATTTAGACACTATTCTATTCACCTTTTTTTCCATTTAGCACTTTGAGTTTTGAATAGTTAAGATGCAAATATTCGTGAACAATTCAAAACAAATTTTCTTTCTTCAAGTAGGAGCCACAATCCTCTAATAATGCGGGTAAATAAGTCATTGCACGATGATTGATCATTACAGCAGACAATTTCACATTTTTTTACGTCGTGCCGCTTGACAGCTTCAAAACTGAAATAACTTTTAGGTTGGGGTTGACTTAGTTGCCATGGTAACTAAATAATCAAGTCGAGGTCAAGTTAAATCAAAAAATAAATTTTAATTATTTAAACACAATTTGGTGTGGAATTTTCTTACCGAATACCACACGAGGTCAAATTAAATCCGGAAATTTTTTCTCCCTCATGAATATTTTTAGAAAATTATCCCTCGTCTTCGACTCGGGATAATTTTCAAAATATTCATGAGCTCGAAAAAATTTTCGGAAATAATTTGACCTCTAGTGGTATTACTAGTGACTATTTCCTTAAGGATTTTAATTTTGAATCAAAAGGTATTATTTTATTAAAAATAAAGAGCATACATTTTTACTTTATTAAAATATGCCATATTTACTAGAGATGCCACGAATAGTTATTTGGCCGAATACCGAATATTCGGCGAGACTCTTGGCCGAAGCGCCGAATATTCGGCAGCCGAATATTCGGTAACACTTAGAACTTTCCGCGGGTTCAAGTCGTTCAGTTTGGCCGAACCGCGGCCCCGGCTGCTACCCCGTGTCAAAGAAAGACCGCACCATTCAATCTCGTCGCCATATCAAAGGCGCCGCTCCGACTTGTGGAGCTGAGAAGTAAGCTGCGGTAGTACGTAGGAGGAAGTCGCTGCAGAAAATGTACATTCAGATGAGGGCGTGGAACAGGAAAGTTCGGTTGCAAATGAACTTAATTTCTACACGTCATCTGTTCGCTTAGATCGAACAGCAGACCCTTACAAGTGGTGGTCAGCAAACGCAAAAAAATATCCAACCCTTTCTCAATTTGCTAATATTTATTTATCATCTCCCGGTACCAGTGTATATAGTGAGCGGCTGTTTTTGGAAGCAGGTATAATTTATAAGGAAAAACGCAATCGTCTGTCAACAACAAATGCTGAAAAAATTGTTTTCATTCATCATAACTTACCACTAGTAGATTTTAAATATTAATATATTAATTTATTGGTTAATTAAATATATTTGTGAGTAATATTTTGAGTTCCTTTTTTTCATGATTTGCTATTCGGTATTCGGCCAAATAGTTTGCAATATTCGGCCGAATACCGAATAGCGAAAAAAGTGGCCGAATAGCCGAATACCGAATAGTTGCCGAATATTCGTGGCATCTCTAATATTTACAAAACCTGACAAATAATATGGTTTATGTTTTATGACAAAAATAAAGAAAGCCTGTCATAAATCAATTAGTAGGTATATTAGCCGGTTTAGAATTTATATTGCACCCAGTTCGACGCCAACCCGCTTAGCCCATAACGAATTGTAAACAAAAAATAAAATGACCATTCGAAAACAGAGAATCGAATAGTTTGTTCCGAAAACATTCATTCAATAAATGTTTTCGGCTACTATCGGTTCCGATTCGGAACAAACTATTCGATTCTCTGCATTCGAATGATCATTCGCGTGTTTTAGGTACGCCGTTTTACTTTTTATTAAATTAATATGCTAGTTAAATTAAATTGTAAAACGGCGCGCCATACAATCATTACTTTGTAGTTGGATATTTTTAATAGACTCGAGTCTTTTTGCCAAAATAAATAACCGATAGTATATTTTTACGTTTATATTTTTAAATCAATTTAATTTAATTCAATGTTCTGTTTTATTTTTTTTGTAATAAAGGGTATATTTTTAAATTAAAATAATGTTAAGTTGTTGTTAATAATTTAATTTATATTATGAGCACAGACAATATTGTGTGTATTATTACTAATTAAAATTATAATAAATATTATTTTGATAAGACAAATTTATTATTTGTATTGTGTTTTTGATATTTTGTGTAAAAAATTTAATAAATCTACTAAAGATACTAAGAAGAAAATGTCAAATTTACTAAAAATTATTTTTTTTAATCCGCCCAAAAATAACTTACTTAAAAACAAAGTTTGATAATTCAAAAACAAAAGCTCAATTGAAAAATATTTATTGGGTAGCCTAATTTAGGTTGTCAATTTTTAGTAGAACCACCCTGTTTTATATTATTGATGTTTTACTTTTTTTAATTTTTTTTTGAATTACCTGGTAATAACATAAAACACATTGTTCTTATTTATAACATTTTTTTATATCTAAAAAACATTATTTTTAAAATAGTAAAATTACCAGAAAAATGATAATCTTTTTTTTTACGATTATAAGTGTGCAAAAATGATCATCGTTTTTCTGCCTTTAAATCTGAATCTGCATATATAATTTAAAAAATACATTGACACAATTACTTATAGACAAAACAATTTTCTCCTAGGATATTACAATCGGTTTTAATAAATCGGCCGTCATAATTGTAAATTTCATAAAACTCGAACGCGCGCCCCAAAATTATAATAGGTATTACCATTGAGTAACTTCCTTACTCAATGGTATTACATTAAATACATTTAAACGAGTGAACTGTCTCTAGCATGACGCCACACGGAGCGAGAGAGACAGCGCTACCATTCGCAACAACAAACCCTGTTTGAATTTAAATATTAAAATCATAGGCGAGACGTTACCAAATTGTGCGACGAAACAACATACAGTATTTAAAAACACGTATATTGGAAAACGTATATTATCGCACCGCCTGCTCACCTGCCACCTGCCCTCATCGTCAAATTGGTTGAACTAAATATACACATTTTTTCCATTTTTAGTATGTTGCATCAACTTATTTCTGAAGATTCTCCTCGTAGAATGCAGTTTGCACTATTCTTTTCACGGATGATGCAGGATTTACCAAAAAAAGGTATCACGAATTTACACAACACACATGTATGGGCTGATGAAAATCCTCATGCCACTATTGTTTCGCATTATCAACATCAGTTCCAACCAATTAATATGTGGGCAGGAATCATTGGCAATATTTTGATTGGACCAATTGTATTTCTTGCACGATTGAATGGACAACTTTATTTGGAGTTTCTCCAGAACGCTTTTCGGGATTTAATAAAGCCCTTACCACCCGTCTAAACATGTACTTCTTGCACGATCGGGCACCACCTCGTTTCAGCGTTGCTGTGCGTAAATACTTGAATAATACCTCTGTCACAATAGTGTTCGCTTATCCAAACCGTTGGATAGGTAGAGGAGGACCTATTGACTATTGACTGGCCTCCTCGATCTCCCGACTTTACGCTGATAGATTTTTTTCTGTGGGGACACCTAAAAACTTGGTCTATTCCACTCCGATCGACACTAGGGGTACTAGGGAAGAACTTGTTTGTAACAATACGTTATATTATTTTTTATCCTCCTTTTTATTAAAAACAAAACATGAATTCGTTTATTATTCTTTTTCTCGAAAACGGTTCATTTTATTGAAAATAAACGGGAGTACCTTTATTTTAGTTTAAGGTTCATGCTACGCAAATTTAGTTTTTTTAAGTCTTTATCATACGGGGTGTTCAAAATTTAAGCATTAAGGTTTAATACTTAGTCCGCCCCTGGTAAACAAAAAAAGCAAAACATGTTTCAAGGACACTATTTTAAGAGATCCTTACCAGGGTCTATCATATTAAATTTTTATTAAATTATATTCAGTACTTTAAAAGTTATTCAAGGAAAACCAATTTGCAGGGGAGTCCGTTCGGGGCCCATGTCTCCGTAAGGAGGGCAAGTAGGAAATTTTTTTATAGAAACATGTCATCTTATTTTTTTCATATTTTATCTGAATCCGAGATATATCCCACATTTTCCCGGACACCCTGTATATATATAATAAACAAAACGCAGGTGTTTTGTTAGTTGCCTATCATAAAATACTTTGTAACAAATTCGTCGTGTCCTGGACTTTTAGCTCTCCATAAAATTTAGAAAAAAAATCTCATAAAATATGTCTGAGGTTTATATATGATTGTATGTCCATTTGCTAGCTAGTTATATATTTTATCTACTCCTATTGCATAATATTAGAGTTTTTCTTTTATAATGATGACCATTATAACCGCCCAGCTTACCAACGATAATGAACTTATTATTCACGTAGTTAGGCATCATGCAGTAATTGGCCGATTTCAATATTCACTGTGATTTGAACAAATCAGGTTTTAAATAGAAAGAAGGCGACTACTCTAATATTTGAAATTCGTAGAAAGTATGGTTAACCGTCTGACAGATGTCAGACTTTATTTATTTATTTTAGAAATCATGTAAATATCTACTAATTAAAGTAAATATAGTAAAGTATAGTATTACCTTTGAGATTATGTGCATTATTCACTCGGAGGACTTGGGTCTCTCGCCAAGCGACTCGAGACGCTAACCTCATCCTCATGCATTGATATGCATATAAATGCATTATCTCTCGTATAATAATATACTATTTTACCATTTAATTTAAATTAAAAAGTATAATCTTTTATTAGGCATTAGAAATAACTTTCTTTTGTTTTTAAATTATTTTTAGGTTATAAACAATACCAAGGCCAACTGCTGGTTTGAGAAAAACACTTGATTTTAATAGGGTAATTAAATTAGCTTCTTAGCATTATAGTTTTCAGTGAAAACTTTTCGTTTGTGTTATTTTAATATACATAACTTGTTTTTTTTGTGTTTTATGACACAGAAAAAACTTTATTAAAAAATAGTTGTTTTTTGTTAAACAAAATTTATTACCTAAATATTTTATTTAAAGAAAACAGAAAAATAAAATGTATACAGTTTTTATTAGAAATAACAGAAATAAAATAAAAAAATTAAACTAAAAATCAGAACCTTCAGTCGATTGATACGATACAGCAATACTGCTTGCCTGATGAGCGGTAGCAAAGGAATCATTAGTCAAAAATATGCCAACAATATGATGATTTGGCAGCTCGAACACAGTTTTTGATGGATTTATTTGCCAACCTAGCTTAAAAACTCTCCCATCGGAAAACTCAAAAATAAGTTCATCCAAAGCACCTCCTCCAGAAGTGGTAAGTTTCATGAGTTTTGCCCCATTCCATTCAATGGTGTAGATTTCATCCGATGTTCCACCCATCATGTAAGTTGGCCCAATCTCGAAATGCACTTTTAAACCACCGATTTTTGATTTTAATTTTGCCCACATGTAAACCTCAACTTTGGTAATTTTATTTCTGCGGCCACTAATTAACACAGGGGCGAGGGGTTCTATTGCATTTTCTATGATAGCCATTCTAGCCATTTCCTTTGTTTGTCTTCCATGGAAATTTGAATAGACCAGTACATTATTGTAAGGAATTTTCGGTTGGGTTGGATTTAATAACATGTGTTCCCAATTGGCAAAGTATTCCAAACCATTAACAGCTATATAACTCCTTACAGTCATCATGAGATCAAAAATAGCACCCGCTCTTCCCGTAGCGTAAGTATGGTCAACTCGCTCTTTATACATGTTTCTTATGTAATTTATCGCCCCTTCCCCGTCATGCAGCAGTTTCTTTGAATAGTTTTCAATATCGTTAATGTGTTCATCATCAAGCCCTATCTTTTTTGCTTGAATTATACCAATGGTGTAAAACATCATTTTCATTTGGATCACTGAAGAATACAGCGGCAATAAAAGATAGTTGATCTTTTTATAATCCGCGTGCCCTTGAGAAAATATGAACTTTTTCTCGAAACCGATAAAACTAAGCGCGATCGCCATATAATGCAGTGCAGTGTTGTTTTTTTTGTTCATTTCTTCTGTGAGAGTTTCCAATCTGGCTTTGTATTGAGCAATATCGCCCTCGAGGATACCATTGATCGCGTCCTGTACTTTGTCATCAACTAAAGACTTTACTTTGTCCTTAATTTCTTCCCATATGCTTGGCTTCTCTTCTGGCCAGAACTTCTGCACAACAGCCGAGAGCATATCTCCAACTTTCGGTATATACGAAATTGCCTTCGATGTTAAATATCGTAAAAGGTTGTTTGTGTTAATGTCCAAAGGGAAATTTTTTCCGCCGTCAGAACCTCCGTTCGTAAATTCTCCATACACAATGGCTCTTACGGATTTATCACTATTGCTGATTCTCATGTTAGTTACGTAGTAAGGTCTTCCTCCATTTACATAGGTATGTTTTGATCCTGGGTATATGGAGTAAGAGGTAATGTCCCCAATTATACCGAACTGTGTTCCATACCGAAATGTCCCAGTAATATGTGTACGACCGATATCGTGTAAAATCACATTTTGATGCGACCCAGGAAAAATACCGCGATCTTGCTTTAAAACTTCCACTGTATCACCGGGTTCAATGCTCACATATCCGAAATCGGAGTAGTATTTTTCAGTTTCCGCGAAAACATGTTCGAAAGTTAATAGTAAAGTTATTAAATGGAACACATCCATTCTTTAAACGTATAAAATGCGACAATAAATGAACCGTTTAACAACCACTAACTTATATAGTATAGGGTGACTTCGACAGGTAGGAAGGTAGATACAATGTTGCCACTTTTACATTTTGGGTAATTTAAATGAAAATACGGTAAATTTACATATATTATAAATTTTGTTTATTTTATGTTGTTTTTATGCTCTACCCTAAATTTCGCATTTTGGAAACACTGTCTTTGAGTCGGCATGTTTAAAATAATAGTTTTTACTTTGTTTTAAGGTTTTGTTAAATGTGTAATGATGAAGTCGTTTATTTTATTTCATTAATAAGTTTTTAAACTGCACATTATATTTTTATTAAATTTTATGTTTAACATTTTTGAGCTATTTATGCTATTTTTAATATTGTATTTTTTTGAAGATACCTATAGATATATACAGGGTGGTCCAGGTTATAGTAGCAATAATTCACCATTCAATAGTCCATCAAAAAATAAGTCGACACGCATGGTAATTTTTTTCTCCAAAAGCCCTCCTAAGGGAGATACAGCCCTTCAAAGTTGAGTTTTAAAAATCTTTTTTTTGCAATAACTCTCAGGAAATAAAAGCGTTTTTGACCAAATTTAGTACAAGTACTTATGAAATAGGTACTCGTTACCTGACGTACGTAACTTTTGTCAAAATTGTCCAGTGACGTAGATACAGGGGGGTTGTTTCACTTTTTCCACCCCATTTTTTACGCCACTGGATATTGGTTTAAATTGACCTATTTTTCGAATTCCTTGTTCAATTTTGAGAAAAAAAGCACTTTAGTCAAATTTTGATTTAAGGCTTTGTTTACGAGATAATTGAGTTTAAAAATAACATACAGTACTGCAAAGTTCAGTTTTAAATATAAATTGGGAAAACGCTTTTGATATTCTTGAACTGCTTGCAACGCGTTTCCATCACAAAATCCATAAATGAAGTGAATATCGGCGTATTCTTGGTTCGTGAATCGAAAAGGCATATTTATGATTACAGGATACTTGTATTAACTCTAAAATATCTTAACAGACTGTAAAAAATAATAGAAAACCTTTATTAACACTCTGACAGCTATTTCAGTTGTTTAAGACTGACAGTTTATACTAGAGTGGGGCCGCCCTAATTTTATTGGATAAAGCGCATCAGGCCACTTGATAATTTTAAATAAAAATACGTCAAGTGTTGATTACCTATTTTAAATACCTATACCAAATTTAATCAAATATTCTTAAACGATATGAGAGTTATAATCCTTATAAATTGAATTTTGAAGGGCTTTATGTATTTTCTGAGGAAGTTTTAAAGAAATTAAAACAATGCATGTCGAGTTATTTTTCAGTGAAATCCTGGGCGAAAAAAGTGAAAAAACCCCTGTATGTACGCCAATGGACAATTTTGACAAAAGTTACTTGGGTCAAGTAACGAGTATCTACTTCATAAGTACTTGTATCAAAGTTGGTGGAAAACGCTTTAGCGAGAGTTAGAGTTATGACAAAAAAAAGATACTTAAAACTGAACTTTGCAGGACTGTATGTTTTTTTTAAACTTAATTATCTCGTAAACAAAGCCTTAAATCAAAATTTGACAAGAGTGGCTTTTTTTATCAAAATTAAACAAGGAATTAGAAAAATAGGTCAATTTAAACCAATATCCAGTGGCGTAAAAAATGGGGTGGAAAAGTGAAACAACCCCCCTGTATTTACGTCACTGGACAATTTTGACAAAAGTTACTTACGTCAGGTAACGAGTACCTATTTCATAAGTACTTGTACCAAATTTGGTCAAAAACGCTTTTGTTTCCTGAGAGTTATGACAAAAAAAAGATTTTTAAAACTCAACTTTGAAGGACTGTATCTCCCTTAGGAGGGGTTTTGGAGAAAAAAATTACCATGCATGTCGACTTATTTTTCGATGGACTATCGAATGGTGAATTATTGCTACTATAACCTGGACCACCCTGTATATATATATACAGGGTGGAAATCTTAACTGGAATAAATTCTGTATTTTGAAAACCACTTACTTTTTTAAAAAATCAAAAAACAGGTCAATTTATAAATTTACCCTGGGTAAATTGTGGTGAATCTTAAAAATATAAGAAACCATCCTTTGAGGGTGCAACCAACCCTAACTTTTTTCAAATGCAAAGGTATATCAAGTGATACATCATTTGAAAGCTCTTTTTAATAGGAATTTATACAAATATGCAATTTTTAATTATTTTATTTTGGTACCTTAAAGAAATTAATACTTTTTTTATGTCCACCAAAAACGTTGTATATTCAACCGAAAGAATGTATTTTAGTTCTTTAAAATTAGTGTTCTAAATTTACCGTAAAAATGTCTTATTTAACTGAAACTTTGCGTATTGAGATTCTAATGATTATTGGATTTGGTAATAGACTTCGAAATCAGACAGAAGTTGCACGATTATTTAATGAAACGCATCGAGAATTGCCGCGCATTTGCCAAGGGACTGTTAGTAAAGTAGAAGCAAAATATCACGAAAATGGTCATGTAAGAAATATTCCTAGACAACGCCAGCCTATCGTTGAAGACAATACGAAGCTTAATGTACTATTAGCAATCCAAGAAAATCCTGTTACTTCAGCTCGACAAATTGCTCGCGAAAACGATTTGAGCCACACCACTGTAATGAAGTTACTACATGCTTCAAAAATGCATCCGTATAAGATGCAAGCAGTACAGGAACTAATTAGGGATGATACCGATCGCAGAATTGAATTTTGCGAGCAAATGATGAACCTTATTAATGATAACCAAATTTCCTTGGATTGGATACTATTTTCCGATGAAAGTACGTTTACTTTAAATGGTGAAGTTAATCGTCAAAATTGTAGATATTGGAACGACAGCAATCCTCATTGGATTGAAGAAAATCATACACAGTATCCACAAAAGGTAAAGGTTTGGGCTGGAATAATTGGTAATAGAATAATTGGTCTTGCCTTTTTAAACGAAACTCTAAATGGCGAAAGGTACTTAACTTTTCTTCAAGAAGATCTTATACCATATTTGGCAGTTCAGTTTCCAAACGAGAATGATCCAGACTTACCAGATAATAGAGTCTGGTTTCAGCAATATGGAGCTCCACCGCACTACGCATTACCCGTTCGTCGATACCTAAATGAAATATTTCCTAATCGGTGGATTGGTAGAGGAGGTGCAGTTGAGTGGCCAGCCCGATCTTCAGACCTTACCCCGTTGGATTTTTTCCTGTGGGGTTACCTTAAAAATAAAGTTTATGTAACCAAACCAACTAATATTGAAGATCTTACAGAGAGTATCCGACACGAAACTTCTTTAATATTACCTGAGATGTTGGAAAAGGTTAAAAATGAATTTTATAATCGTCTAGGATTTTGTCAAGAAACCAGAGGAGCTCATTTTGAACATCTTTTATAATAAATCCATATTTATCATAAAATGAAGTTTTTATTATTTATAATTGTACAAAAATAAAATAATTAAAAATTGCATATTTGTATGAATTCCTATTAAAAAAAGCTTTCAAATGATGTATCACTTGATATACCTTTGCATTTGAAAAAAAAAGTTTGGGTTGGTTGCACCCTCAAAGGGTGGTTTCTTATATTTTTAAGATTTACCACAATTTACCCAGATAAATTTATAAATTGACCTGTTTTTGGATTTAAAAAAAAAAATAAGTGGTTTTCAAAATACAGAATTTTTTCCAGTTAAGGTTTCCACCCTGTATACATATATATATACAGTGTTGGCCATAATTTTTCCAACCACTGTAAAAAAAATCTAACTCTAAAACGCCTTTATTATTCTTTATGAAATTTTGTATAAATATACTTCAACTTATAATCTCAGTTACGCGTGTTCGAGGGTTTTTCGAGAAAATAATTTTAAAGCCCTTTTATTTAATAATGAAAAAACGTTCGGAAAAAAACTTTTAGGGTAATTTTTTTTAAGAAAATAAAATAATGCTGTTAAAGACCGTATTTTTGTTAGTATACCCTGAAAATTTTGTACAAATTAAACAAACAGTAACGAAGATACAGCGCTTCAAAGTCGGTAAAAATGGCCCCTTTTTGATTATTTTGCTGAAAAGTGGTCATTTTTGGACGACTTTGAATCGCTGTATCTTTGTTGCTGTTCATTTGATTTGTACAGAATTGTTAGGATATACTAACAAAAAAGAACAAATTAGTTCAAATAATTGTAAAACACGCTTCATAGCAGGCGTTTAGGCAAGCCATCGTTTCTTTATATATGAAGTGGCCAAACAGTTAAATATCAGTGATACGCAAAATCGACCACTTTTTCGATTGGCTGAAATTTTTTATATTTTTCTACCCCTCTAAAAATGTTTTTTGGAATTTTTTCAAATTTTTTTATCCAACCAAAATATATTTTAATTTTTTTAAAGAAAGGCTTTTTTTTAAATACACATAACTATTCTTTTGATTTTGAATAAACTATACAACAAGTCAAGTTTTATAGGACAATTATTTAGTTTTTTTTAGAAAAAAGTAGAATTACAATTTATTACAAAAGTATTAAATACTTTTTCAAAACCAATATTTAAAAAGTTTATTTGCACGTAAAAAGCATTAAACATATATTGTGGAGACTCCACCGTGCAGATTCTTCCACAAATCATTTTTAACTGAGACAATTTAACAATATTAAACACAATAAATGATATTTTAGATTTTATAATTGCATATTTATAAAAGCAAGAATTTGGTAACATCGTATTTTGACCACGATAGCCAAAAGGTTTTTTATGATAGACATAATATTATGTAGATGGTTTTTATCATTACACTGTAGGTGTACAACTCTTGATTTATCCCAGCTAAAAGTTTTTCCTATTGGCAATCCGATCCGGGGACACACTGTATATTATGATTTGTAAAATATTATATTTCACCTCTTTTGCCAAAATTTCTATGCTTTTTATTTCGTTTAATATAATATTCTCAATTATA